TCTACTTTATATGTTGATTTAACTTAGATATCTGTGGTCCAAAATGCTACATCACAACACAGGTTTGTTTTCACTATAAAAAATCACTCGGTTGAAACATAAAAAGATTCAAATTTATTACCTTTTCAATAACAATAAATTCCAAGAAAAAATATATTTAGCTTCATATCTTTTTGATAAATTAAAATTCTTCTGATTATAAAACATAGCTTACTGGGCTACGAATTATGCTTCGTTCATTTGATTTCTAATGGTTACGAGAGTGTCCTATTAACTTGTACCGAACTTCGTCCCATTGACTCTAGAAGTACAAATTGCAACTGTCAGCAAATGTATAAACACAACAAAGATTATAATATCGCATCAGCTAGCTTTAGCGGCCTAGGAATGCAGAATTAAAACCTGAGTTTTACTGATGTATATGTAAATGCATTTATATAAATCTGGCCAAATAAATTACTTATGACTTATATATAGTTCAAGCAACATGAAACAAAATTAGAATGCGGTAAATACGAAACAAAATTAGAATACAGTAAATATTATGATATTGTAATTTAAACATGACTTTTGATACTGATATTAGGCTTATCATCTGTATCATCAACAAAAACAGTCTGAAGCTTGTTTGGTGTGTGTTTCAAGTCTGGAATGGTTCGAGTGTGCTGTATGTTTCCAACCCATAGACTAACAACTGATTTCATCTTAAGGGTATATTTTTGACCGTGTGTATGACTATTTTATTATATTAACAAATAGCAATAAATGATATTATAATTTTACAAAACAAACGTTTCATTTTGTTAAGTTAAAACAGTTTCCATTCGGAACGGGGGTTTTATGCCCCGTTTTACGGGTTAAAAATGGGGTTATTCCATTTTCACCCTGAAACATAACCTTTTGTAATTTCATTCCAAACCATTTTGTAGAGCTCAAAACACAAATAATTTGTATAATGTTTTTGTGCGGTTATCGGTTACTTAGAAAATCCAAAAAATGAATTTAAAATTCCTTCAAGGCTCGAACCAACAACTTCATTGGCTTGGTTGCACAATATATGACTCTTCTCCGACCGAGCAGCTAATTCGCCTCAGTCAATGTAAATGGTTCAAATCTGTAGTTACAGTTGAACCTCTATAAGACGAATTTCAAGGGGTACGGGAAAAATTCGTACTATAGAGGTACTCTTAATAAAGAGGGTCGTTTTATCGAGATTTAATGCTGCTGTTATTCTTCTTATAGAGGTTTCTCCTCGCTCCAAGGTTACTCCAAACAATGACTGAGGAAGGAGGAGGGATGGATGGGGGTTTCATGTTGAGACAAGCTTCTGTTTGTTTTGAAAACTACGTACTATGGAGGTTAAGATTATGATAAATTCGTCTTATAGAGGTCACGTTCGTCTTGTAGAGGTTTAAAACCACACAGCACAAAATTTGTGCTAAGAATATTCGTTGTATAGAGGTTAATCAGTTCTAGCCCATGTTACAAACAAATTCGTCTTATGGAGGTTTTTAACTTAATTACTACGTTGTATAGAGGTATTTTTAGCATTGACCTATATAAAATTGTTAAGGGGATTAAAAAAATCGTCTTATCGAGGAATTCGTTTTATCGAGGTTCGTACAAACGAGGATCAACTGTAATACAACAAAGTGCGTACGGTTGAAGGCAAATCGATGGAATTCAAGGTCGGATTTAAATCCGCGCGGTTCTCGTCGGTTTATCCTGGTCCCGTCTATGCAGTGAGATGTTTCATCTCGTAATCTCTTGAATCATCTACAACTAGAGCTGAGGGACCTTGGTCCTTGGCAGTCACTGGACCACAAACGTTAATCCGCAAAGGTCGAGGCTTTGCGATGCAATTCTTGTCTTCCTGTCCACTTCATCGACTTTTGACTTCATTACCATTACTAGTGAGAATTGACATAACGTAGCTGGCGAATTTTAACATACATTTTAGTAAAAGAGTAAGAAGACTTGTGAAGCTTGGCTAGTGATTAAGACTGTTTATTTTTCCAGAATAATATATTACCGATGATCAGGTATAGTTGAGCCCAGTTTTGAACAATCAAAAAGCCACTGACTTTTCTCAGAATCGATCCGGCAAACTTCTTGATCACAAGGCGGGCGCTAACGACTGCCCTATTACCACTGATCGTGCCTTTCAATGGATCTTCAAGTGATTCAGTATTCATCTTTTAACTCAGTTCTAAAATTAAACTATTCATCTTTGATACAATTGATAACTCCTCAACGTGAAAAATTACGAATAAAAATATTTACAGTAATAGCTTCTGCGTTCACTCGGAACAATAATATACTTAACGTCTCAATTTCATAGTATCATCGATTATAGTCCCACAGAATATAAGGTTTGTATCACAATCGTCAAGGACGGAACCCACATTGCAATACCATACGGGCTACATACGGTGGGAAAACGCTTTATTTAATACAAAAAATCTCAACAAAACTACTATAGTTCATAATTTAATCTGCTGTCGTATATGGAAATACATGAACTTTTACCTCTATGTGGATAGAAAATCCCTTTAACTAATTAAAAAAATAATGCAAAGAAACAGTAAAGTATATTGAAAACATAAGATTAAATTTTCTTTGGTGTGTTACCAGTTACAGGGAAGTAAAACCTCCCATTGTACTTTTTTTCCCAAAGAATCGCAATTTTTAAAATTATTAATGTAGGATACTACAAATAATGTATGTCTGTAGATCAAACTTATATTACAAATAAACTACAACATTCCTTGACACATTTATCTTATCACTTCCAGTAAAAGCCATTCTAATTGTACAGTCGAACTTGTTTCATTCATTTAAGTTTGTAATTAATTTTATCCGTACCAAGCCTATAAATATAGCTTATAACTTCTATATCTGAGCTTAATACTGTACCTTGAGTAATATGTGAGTCACACTTGACTAAACTTATTTCAACGAAAATAAAAAATGACAAGCTATAATTTCTACGAAAATGAATATCTTCCTTCATGGAAATGAGTAGCTTTATAGAAATTAGCATACACATGCAGACAAGTTGTATCTAATTTGTTATTAATTCAATTACTAATATGCAGCCTCTTCCTGATAAACAAGAAGTAGATGTTAGTAATGATTTAATATTTCTTCAAGTATGCGTAACTAGCGTAGGTTTCAAGTAGGAGTTTTGTTTGTCGGCAGCGCATGAGTTGGTGTCCAATAATTTGCAACCATTGTTATTTCTTATTTAGACAAAAAAAAAAGAACAGTACGTAATAAAATTTGGAGCACCAGGAACACATAAACATTTGAAGCTCGGCTAAACATAGAGAATGTCGTCGAGCTCGAAGAATTCTTGTTAACATTTAACGTCTGGGTTGTTTGTGAATAAAAATGAAATTTTAATCGTCGTGAAGTTTTTTATTATATTAAGCTATTCTTTGGCTCACTTTACTAATTGTAATGAATACAATAAAAGTATTTTATCTGACAAATTATAAAAGATTAGTAGCCTTTACAAATTATCAAATAAACTAAACAAAATAAAAATATGTAAATAACACTTGTAATAATATATTACACTTACACTGTTTACTCACAAGACGGTAAATACATATAAAAGATAGTAAGAGGTTGATAAGTGTAAATATATACAAGTGTTCTTTGACGTATTTCTTGTACATTCAGATAAAATACTTCATAGGCAACCTATATAGTTGAGGCAACCTAAAGTGTTAGGTACAAAAGGAAAAGTGCAATTTCATTTTGTATAGCCTGCATATGAACTAAACATCTATAAATGACGTAGGAGGAAAAATTTAACTACCAAAAGTTACAACCACGAAAAACACAGATTTCGTTCTATCATTGTGATTTGAAAAATATTTGCAAGCTAATTTCTCTGAAATCCATTACAATCAAATGACTGTAATATCTGCGTTAAGTAGAATAACTGGAATCAAAACAACTGTTATCAATACAGACCTTTGATCACCATTATCTTCAAGAAAACCCAATTGTTATTATCTTTTGTTGGAAACAATTAAATGGCAAATTGAAGGTTATGTAACCCTTAATGGCTCAATTTGTAGTAATGTGTTTTTATGTGACATTGTGCTTGTTAATATGGGGAAGTTTAAATGTAAAACCGTTTAAGAGTTAATTATTTCATAATCTATACTAGGAAATAGTTTTTTAGTACCTTACAGAACAACGGCTTTGGATGTACAGTAACAGGTTATTGTAGAATAAGGAATTGTTTACTCATCTCACGATCATTGTTTTTAATAATGTATGTAATCAAATTTCGTGGCGGATATTTGAAAAAATCTTAATGGCTATTTCACATATTTAAAAATGTCGTTTTAATTATTTCTTTTTAAACAAACATGTAATTAATTACATAACTTACAGCTGGTTTGCTGACAGGATTTCCTCGTCTGATTTTTAGTTGCGAGTTCAATCCCGAGAAAAGAACATTTTTTAATTTTTTTACTGAACTCTCGTCTGACTCAGCAGCAAAACCAAAGCGGCACAATTCATCTAATTCTAGACTCCAATCATATTTTACTCATGCAGGTTAAAAATACACAGAAGTTTCCCTGTGTCGACGTAAAGTTAATTAAATTATTACTTCTTTTATATGCCACCTTAACTTAAAATTAATAAATGTAGCCGGCAGCCGCAAAAATATTTTTATCACACGATGAAGAAGTTAAGTTAAAGGTGTGATGTGACAAATTAAACCACAATTATTTGTAAAGATATAAAACACAGAAGAGATTTAATGCTATAACAAAATCGTAAGAAAATTAAGCAGCACAACGGAAATATGTACAAATCGGGTAGAAATTTGGTTCCATACGAGTGCGGTGGGTAATTTAAAGGGAAATTTAATTTCCGCCCGCATAAAGTGGCAGCCCTGCTCTACCGCTGCGCAGTAGTCTCTGCGCAAGTCTACCGCAAACTCTGCCCGCACGGTCGATAGGCGGACACGGACAGCTGCATTGCATAGTTTAAGTAGAGCAGTGGGATATCCGTTCGTTTCACGAGTTATTTATTGTCAATGGGTTTTCGTAGATTCTCACATTCGGACGACTTGCTGCTTGTCAACAGTGTTAAATCCTTTCCCAATCTGTACAGCCAAGAGGGTTTATCCGTAACCAAAAATCATGAAAGCATGAGAGAGAACTGGCGAGCCGTGGCGGCCGAAGTCGGTGTGAACGGTGAGTACTCGATGTGTTGACTTATCGCAAACCACTTAAACGAACAGTCGATAGATTGATGTTGGAATTAAAGTAAATTGGGATATTCATTCATTTGATACTCGCTAGCGTAATACATCGATTTGTTAATAGTTAATCACTACTGTAGCATTTTTGAATTTAATAACTTCTGCTGATTTTAGAAAGTGCTTTGATGACAAAAATACAACGAAATAGAGCATATTTTTGTATGTATATTTATGTTCATTGTAGTAAATTAACTTAGCTACATTGTTTAATTGTATGAACTTACCTATATTTGTCCTGGAAGCCTGAACTATTCACTACCTTGCCATTTTTGAGTGATATTGTCCGCACTGACGCTCAATTTTAAAACTACTCGATATTAAATTGAGTTAAATTACTGTCGGTAGACCCGGCCCATTCCTACTAAGTCAATTTTAAACTGTAGAGCCACGTAGTGCAAAACAAATATTAAAATGTCACTTATGGAAGATAAATCTTTCATCTTTGTTTACAAACTCACATGGGATTGCTATATCTTTTCATTGATTTAATAATTTAATTAGAATTATACCTTTCATTCGAAATTAATTTTCTCAATTCAGATTGATTGTTTGTTGGTTGACTAATTGATAATTGATCAAATAAATAATAAATAGCGCATACAGTGTGTTTGACCTTATAATAATTTCCTGTATTCCGCTTTAAATCTTGTGAGCAATTAAGCTCACATTATTGTTTTTATTCCCCTCACCTTGGAAGTGCCCACATGAATTGGGTGAAGGTGGGGGTCCCCACAGCTGTTGAGTAGGTAAGGGTCCCCTAGCCTTTTGTCCACAGCAGAATATTCCAATAGACCCCCCCCCCCCCACCACTCTATATCTTTCTCTCTCTAGCGGTGATCCTGTCAGGGAAAAAGTTTAGACCCTCCGGTTGGAGCTCTACAGAAAAGTAACCAAACTTTAGGAAAAAACACGGAGTTGGCCTATATCTAAAAAAACTTTTAGCTTGTTTAGAAAATTGTTTATGATGGTCGGAAGGTAAAAAAACCCCTGTTTCATTAACAATCAGTATCAAAAACCATCTCATTAGATAACAAAGCTTTTAAATTTTTTTCTATCGTTTGCAGTTTTTCAGAAAAAGTTTACTTGGAAAATTAACAAACAAAACGTTTTGGGTAGAGTAAAAATCCTGACACCATACAAATTAATTCCTTATATTATATTGTCTTAAAGTTTGATAAAGTTCTGCCGTTTAGTTTATTGTGCAAATTTTATAAGTCATAAGATGGTTTTTGATATCATTCTACTTAACAGGGGTTTTTACCGTTTTTTGTTTCAGGAATAAGTACTACGTAGAAATAAACAACGGAAATTTATATTTAATCCGTGTTTTTCTAAGTAGTTTTGGTTACTTTTCTGTAGAGCACCAAACTTGAGTGTCTAAACTTCCCCGACATTATAAGCACCTGGATACTGTATTTAATTATACACTAATTTGATGATGAACATATACTTATGAGGATGTAGACACTCTGATAGTGGTTTTATAAACAGACGTAACTTTTATCTGCTACACCACTAAACGATAGCATATCTTTAAATTTGGATTCTTTTAAAAGTTATTTAGTATAGCAGCAATGGTGATTTTTTGTTGTTTCGACTAGCTTAGTCTTGTATTTGTGCTCAACAAGGTATTTGGCTTCACCCATTAACTACTTGTTTGGTTAAGTTACAACAAATCTGATCCTGTATTTTTATCCTTTTTTAGCCTCCAAGATATGACTTTTCTTTTTTTCTTTCATCCATCTATCTCCTTTTTGATGATTGCGTATAGGTATTCTTCCATTTGAGGTTTTCTTTCATATGAAAATTTTTAACCACGGGAAAATGATACAACTAGGTAGTTTAGAATTTTTTATCTGTACTACATTAGGAAAATTTTTTTTCTTCAAAATTTGCTGTCTAAAACATAAAAAGCCCGATTTTTATTACAACTACCATGTTTAAAAACTACACAAATAGTATATTGAAGCATTGTTAATTGTACGATGAAGGGATAAAAAAACTGTTTATTTAAAATTCCTGTATTTTTCTAATGGAGAATAGGAAAACTGTATTAACTAAGTTTAGTTTGTTTGGGGATATAATTTTTATCCAATTTAAAGATTTTTTTATTTATCCTACTATTAACATTTGATCAAAAAAATACCTTTTCATCACTCTGTATTTGAAAATATCCCATTTCCATACAGCTGAGATCTTCGAAAATATCCAATTTCCATACACCAAAAACAAATAGTGATCAGCTGACTTTTCCTGACATAAACATTACTTTCAATTACACAATTCACAAACTTCACAAACTTTCAATTAAACATTACTTACACAAACAATACTTTGCCTGACATCAACAAAGTTACAACTTAAGTTTTTAAAGTTTGATAAAGTGAAGTTTTTTCCATCGTAATGAAAAGTATCGTTCAATTCTCGTCACGAAAGTCCCATTTCGGGGCTCGATAGTGTTTCCCATGCTCGACTTCATGTAAAACACTATCTTGCCCCGAAATGGGTCACTCATCAACAGCTTATTTTAGTTATTATTTTGCAAAATACAGATTTTTTAGGTAGCTACAAAAAAATGTTATTTTTGTTTGCTTTTTGATATTGATTTTCAAGTCCTCAATGATGTAATTCAAGAGGAACTACTGTGCCAACAGGATGTATAGTTTCCTGTTATGACAGAAGGAATCCCAATAATAATAGTTTGTGTTTTGCGATGAAACTTTGAATGTTCCAAATCGGCCATGCCTTCTGCTTGGACTTTGAAATACTGATTGTCTCAAAATGTATGCATTATTGAAAGTTTTGATTTACCGAGTGTTTGAATTACCAAGACACTGTAGCAGGAAACCAACTCGTTAAATCTAACATTATTTAAATAGAGAATAAATATGACTTGTTATTTATGAAAAATTAATAAAAATCAGGCCCCATTCAGGGGCCCATTTCATCATAAACTAGATTTGCATTGGGCGATCAGCTGATTTACTAATAATATTAGTTTGTACTTTATTATGAAAGAGGCCTCAGACAGATTGAAATCTACTTAGTCTGTAGGTTTGCTTCAGCGGGGGTATTACTGTAGTAAAATCTAAATATAAATAAATGTTCACCAAACTATTATCGAAGTATTTTTTCTATAAAAGCTCTCCTAAAATAGTCGACAAAATTAAGTACGCCATGATAAATTACTGATTGATTGTTTTATTTTTTTTAGAGAGTGAATGCAAAAGAAGGTGGAGGGACATCAGGGATCATTACTTCAAAACAAAGAGGAAACATGAACAGAGCAAAGACAAGAAGTGGGCCCCAAGATGGTCACTGTATGAAAGTCTGCATTTCTTGGCCAGAGCCAAAAGGAAAAAGAGGTATAAAGAAATATACATCAAAAAGGAAAAGCCTAATTAGTTAATACCATTAATTAAACATAGGCTACTTCCTTAGTAAGATTTGTCATCCTTATGGAACAGCTGACATTTTAATGTTAGTTGCGTCTTAGGTTGTGTTTTTGTTTAAAATTATTTGTTTGTTATTCCTTAGTTATTGAAAACCTTGTCTTACCAATTAAAACGATCTGATCATAAAGAACAGCTCTTCTAGGCATTTTTAATCAGACCCAGCTAAATATGTAAAATATGCATTAGCAAAACAGCAGTTAAAAACCGATCGTTGAATTTTTACTTAAATATTTCCTTACACATGTCAGATTTATTCCATGTTTAGATAACATCATTAGGATTGATGAAACATGATTTCTGACTGAAAGGTAAAGGACATAGGGAGTTTTTATGTTTAAGGATACAAATTGGAAAAACCTAATTTAAAGAAATCTAAAACTTTTAATGAATGAATCAATGAATGAATAAGCGCTTTATTTTAAAATACTCAAAACAAAATACAAGTTCGTCCCACACAGGGAACGTGCCTACGCGCTACAGCAATACCGGTAACCTCTTGGTTATCTGCTGGGTTGGAACGTCTTAAACTAAATCTAAAACTTTATAACACTAATGCTGTGACCAGATTTTACTGGTTCGGGAAATCAAGTTGATGCTGCTCTATTTTTGATAAAAATCGGACCAAAATTACTTGAGTTATTGTGTTTATGGACACCTATACATATAACATGCAAAAAATTTGAACAGTAGTGTTTAAAAAAAGTGGTCACTTCACTTTGTATTTATATCTCTTCAGCATTCCTTTCTTTTTAGACATTCGAGTTGTGAAGACCTCTCCGACCCCTCAGCTGACAACAGTCTTGATATTTACGAGCCAGAAATGACTGTCAAAGTGGAAGAGGACTCCCAGACAGACTTGCAGCCACGGTCCGAGTTTATCGATGTGAAGACTCCTCAGCAAGAGGCTGACACAAGTTACCGTAAGCCTTCCGAGTGCGGGAGTGTCCACTTCCTGGAGGAGCCTGACCCATCTTGGGCCCCGAGGACACTGGTGAACGCCTACTCCAACCAAAGAGTGGACAGTGAAGACGACATTGACATATTCATGAGAAGTGTGGCTCTCACGGTGAAAAGACTTTCTCCAAAAGCCAGAGCGGAAGCCAAGATGAGAATTTTATCTGTCGTTACTGAACTGGAGTTTCCACCCAACAACCATGGAGAAGTATAAAGTTAGTCTAGTCAAGATTTGTTACTGTTAAGTAAGTGACTGAGTTAGTTTATTCTAATGTATGATTTTTAAAAAAATTACCAATAAAGGTGTCTGTCATTTGAAATGATCAACTGATAAAGAATTATCAATTGATATTCTTATCGATTGTTAAAAGATCAAGCAAAAACAGCCATCTACACGGTTATTTTGTGTGACCATTAGCTCAGCCTAAGCTATCTATATATTAATAGGCAAGCTGTTTCTTTAAAACCTTTTTTCTCAGCTCGTGTGCATCGCAGTAACCAAAATCTATGCATACTGTTAGAAAGATATTTTCCTGTAGATGTACAGAACCCTTTATAAATTAAAATAGGCTCAAAAATAAGAACAAAAAATGAATTAAAAATTAAAAAAAAAAAACATGGGTCTTGTGGGTTGCCTTGCTGATGACGAAATAACAATGAAATATAAACAGAAAATCAAAACAAATTGAAGTAATTCCAATCACATGTTTTATTTACAGCGTGGGATGAAAATAGAAAAGTATGTACATAAGATATTTTTGGTCGAATTTTCAACCACTGGACGACCTCTAGTTAGTATAATTAGTTGTTCATTATTTATTACGTGTTATAACATTTGTTTACAAAAAATACAATCCAGTTATCATTGGTTAATGGTTTTTTAGATAGTATATTTTATTTTTAATTAATTATACATTTATACCAACCATGTATTGAAGTTGTTTGTGGATAATAATTTTAATTGTATCTTAGAATGTACGAGTTAGTTAAAAGATTTAAATTAAAATTCAACATGACCAATTTTGATTATTATTGTATATTTCCTGATGAACAAAACCGATGGGTAAGGGTAAGTTACTATTCATCATCACTGAATCTGCAGTTGTACAAAAATGCTGGAAGTCTAAACACCCAACCTTGCCATTCTACATCATACTATGCAAAACAATGTGTGGGAAACCAGCTGGAACAGTTACATAATATTTCTAGAAACAGCTGATTTTGGTGGGAGTTTCCAAGGTCAAGTTTAGATTTTATTTTTAACTGTATGATGTTACCAGCTCAATTTTGTCATCACATTCTTGGAGATCTGTACCATGATGATACAGGGCTGAATTAACTTTTTCTGTAATTTAAATAAAAAATAAATTACAAACCAACCCATCATAATCTTTGTTGCTGATTGCTGATTTTGATAGTTGGAATTTAGATCACCAAGTCTTTTTTGACAAATTTTCTATCATGTTAACCTTGACCTTACTCCAAATTGTTCAATGATTTCCTATTTATATTGCCAAAAGATAAATCCTCAATGACGAAGCTTGAATTGCAAAATACTTAATAAGTAATTTATTTATAGTTGATAGAAGTCTGTGTTTTTATTTATAGCCATTAATAATACATTTTCATGCAAATAATAACACACTTTTTATTTTGATTCAAACAAGTAAAAAATAAACAGAAGTTTGGTATACTGTGAACAATTGCAGGGTATTCAAGGAAGGAACTAGTAGTATAGTTAATTCATGTTTTACTTTACTTTTTTATGTACTCCTTTGAATAAAGTATGTTTTGATTAGATTTATACTTTGGTTGGAACCATACCTAATATAAATATAACTATTTTCAAAAGTACAAGGTAAACTGATATGAAGAACAAACCAATGGGTTTTATTATGTTCTCACCATCACATAAAGAACAGACAAATTTCATGAATTGACATAAAGTTGAGTAAAAATTCAAAAAGACAATTTTTTGCTGTTTAAACCTCTCCCCCGAACTCATTGGTTGAATCAAACACCTCTAATCTGAACATCTCTACTCACCAATTGGTTGAATCAAGCATTTGAATAGGTATGTTCCTTTATCTTAATACAAATTTCATAAAAAGAAGACATTTTCAATCTTATCTTGCCTATATAGATGCACTATACATGTTTTTTTTTTCAAGTTTTTGGCTCCTGGAAACCCTATTTCTAGGTGAGTCCAAAAATACTATGAAATAGCTGCACTCCACTTTAGATGGAAATTGTCTAAAAATGCTAATACAAATAAAACCTAATTAATGGGTACAATCTCCTAGCACAGTTGGTTTTAGTGAGTTTATTTTAAGTGCATAATTTATTTCCAGTAAAGGGAAGAAATATGGAAAGCTACTAATCAGAAGATTATCAAAAAGAAGATAATAGAATGAGTTCTTTGTTTTTTTAAGAGAGGTTGACAGCTTCTTATATCCTTGTATTTGCCCGTGGAAGGCCCATCCATCAAAGCAAGCGGTACATTGCAAGGGTGATCTGTACTAATTGTAGTGGCAGAGACCAGGATCCAACCCACGACATCGCTGCCTTGGGCCCCAAGTCCGAGACTCTATCGACTGAGCCACCAACTCACCCAGGAAAAGTGATTATCAATATAGTGATTATTGAACAAGTGTTCACAGCCCATGGATTTGTGGGGAAATCAAACTCTAAATTAATGAGCTATTACAATTAATTTTGGAAACTGCCCAAAAACTGACAGCAGCTGACAGACCAAGATTTATTTTCAGATGCTTACGCAATCTCACACATATTTTTAACACTTCCCTGTAACTGGTGGGTGGAGGAAGTGCTAACTAAATGTGACTAAACATTTCGTAACTGAGTGGTTTCCTCAGGAAATAGCAACCTGAGTGTGTAACTCGTTACATTTGCTCATGTTTTGCATGCATTTCCCTCAAAAAGGAAATTACAAACCAGTAGTTAATTGTAACAAATAACAAATTTCACTGTGCTTTCATTTGTCACATTACAATCTCTTAGCTAAGATCATAAGTGTTCCAAAATCAAATAAGAGCCAACTATAAATTTCTCGCAAGACTATGTGAATTAATATTAAAGTAAAGTCTCCCTACCCAATAAGAGAATGGAATAGCATTCCCACTTTCTTTTTAAAAAATCTATAATATCTGTATAAAGATTAATAATATATTAATAAGTGTTAAAGTGTGGCAAGGGCTCACTGGATACTTTTACAACTACCACTTATTTTGCTTGCAACCCAGTTGGCACTGCAGTTTGGCATTTTGCAAGCCCTTAGTCTTTAATTTGATGATTTGTATAGTGCTACTAATAAAAGTCATCATTATTCTAGTCATTCCGAGTCATTGCTCTGATTTCTCGTTAAAATAATAATATAAACTAAATTTTGAGCCTCAGAAAAAGTGGATCTTCATGAATATTAGAATATTCAACTAAATATAACTGCAGAAAAGGTAGTTGTTTTACATTTTAAAAAGTGTTTGCATTATGCGGTGAGACAATTTGATTTAAAAGATGTTAATGAGATTGTTGGTTAAAAAAAATGTAGTTGGTGAATAAGCAACAAATTATATTGTGTGGAACAATTTTGAATAATGACACTAGCATTTAAAAGCTCACACCCAATTACATGGTTTTAGTTATTCTTAAAAGTTAAGCAAATGATTTATTAAATTATTACAATAGTTTACTTTAGTAGTTGACAAACTTTTATTTTTTGTTGAAAGCCTGTAAAAGAATTAAATAGTTAATACATTAAAAGAGATTAGAGTAAATAAATTAAATGAGTTACTGAATTTTGAGTGCCTGTACGTCCTTTACTAGCAATCAGTGTGACACTTACGAGTTTGCATCCTCGTTTTGCAGGCGCCTAAAGTTTAAATTCATTTGACTCGGTTTGTTACTCGTATAACTTGGATTTTGTCATTTTGTTTGTGTACTTAACACAAACTGACTCAATTGTAAAAAATTTGTCGCGCCTGACGCAGGTCAGGTGGCAAAGCAGTGCAGTAAACTGGGTAAATCCCTGGGAAATGGGAATAGCCTACTGTACCATAGGCCTATTTTAGAGCTCTTCTTATACTTGCCCCGCTTGTTGGAGTGGTTGGTAAATTTACGGCTCTAAAGCAGATTTTACCGATCCCTTTCTAAAAACAACGACTTTTTCTGCTCTACAAAGAATAGATCGCAGCTGCCTAAGTGTATTGTGGTGAAAATTCTGAAAAAATCACCTACTGTATTTTTTAATTTGTTTATATTTCAACGATAGAATGTGTAAAAATAAAATAAAAAACATACTCCCTTTTAAGAATGTTACATGGTACAAACTAGTATTAGAATGTTTTTTTACTTAGTCTTAGTGGAATTACATAATCTTTGGTTTAATATAAATCCTAAGTAGATTTCTCAACTTTAGAAGAGAGTATACTGAGCTGCATTCAAATGTAAAAGAGTGGTAAGCTGCGACTGGCTAGGAAAATACTGAGGTAAAAAAAATTAGAGAACATGTTTGCCAACTCATTATAGTCGTTAGTCGTATGCCCATTCAAGGAGACATTAGTTGGAAAAGCGGGTGCATCCCTTGTTAACCGAACGAAACTACAAAAGCTGTTAGGATTATTGTTTGGGATGGCCCCACGATAGTTTCTGTAGCATGTGCGACTCAGTGCCTTGCATCAGTTGTTACACAGAACATGAGAAAGTGTGATAGTCTGTAGGCTGCAGAGTAGATTTGAAGTGCCGCTGAGCTTTTTTCTTCTCTATAATAAGATTTATAAGGTCTTTTGAAAACCACTTGGGGAATGGGGAGAGGTCCCAATCCGTTTTAAGGGGCTGCATTTAACGCAAATGTCTCCTAACATACCAATCATCCAGTTAAAATTTGCCTGCACATCGGAGCAATGGTTTTATGTGTTCAAAGCTGGCAAGTGGCATGTGTTATGGCAATTGAAGAGACCAAGACAAAAGAGAGTAATTTACGTCCGGCCTAGCAATTTCATCTTCGGCTGGAGCAACCAAAACAAGGCTCTGAAGACCAGATCCAGACTAACATTCCTATGGTTCTTGACGTGATTTACTTGCTCCAAGGAGTGACGTGCAGCTAGGCTGTGTAGAATTGTTTTCTCGTTTCTCTCCGAAGGATTAAGCTGCACATCATCCAGTTAGATGGGAATGTTAAGATCGCTTGCCAAGAAGATTGGTACAGTTTGACCAAGTTAACACCTCATCAAGATATAACTCAGGGAAGAGCTATTATTTATAGGTATAATCATAGATAAAAGGTGTAGACACTTTTATCTATGGTATAATCAATGATACTGAGGTGGCGTTCAGGAAAAAAATACTAAGAACCAAAGTGAAACCGGCCTCCTCGGCCGGAACGAGAGCTGGCTTCAGTCACGGCCACCTCTAACTCCAGGCCGCGGCCTGGTAGAATTGGCAACGTTGCAAGTGGTATTGTCTAGCACCAGACGTCCCATAAGATAACATGGCAGACAGGTGACACCAGCTCATTAATTCCTGTATTATTCATTCAAATTTAAATTTATGAACACAAATGTATTAAAAGATTGAAAATAAAACATATAGAATTGAAAACCAAAACAATATTTAAATTGAAAATCTATTTTTGTATTTAAAGTGGAGTCAATATTTTCATAGCCCAGTACCTTATCTTTCATATTATTAAAATACACAAATACCATTAGCTGCCTACAAAACAAAATAGCTGTAAAGCCCCCCACACACTACCAGACCAGACCTCCAGACCAGACCGTCTGGCTGCAACCAGACCGTCTTGGACGGCTCTACACACTCCCAGACCAGACGGTCCTAATTCGTAATTGAGAGACCGTGGTGAGAACTCCAACAAATGGATGAAGATTGTCACGATGGTCGGCCGTCTGACAGACAGCGCTACACACTCACAGACCAGACAAAAATAGTGGTGGGGGAACCTCAGACCGTCTGTGGTCTGAGGGTTCAACCATCAGACACGCAGACAGTCTGGTCCGAGAAAATCTGTCTGCAGACAGCCCCACACACGATAGACAAGTGCCAGACGCCAGACCAGACGGTCTGGTCTGGAGGTCTGGTCTGGTAGTGTGTGGGGGGCTTAACAACCCTACTTGCGATGTTACCACTTCGAAGGCCGCGGACTGGAGTTAAAGGTGGCCGTGCTTCAGTTCAGAATTAGAACCAGTATCTCTCACTCGAGTCTAGTCAAGTCTGATTCGGTCAGACTCAGCAGATAGAAACGAGACAGATCCGGATCCGGATCGGATTCGTTCGGATCAATCAGATTCAGGAGGATTCAGTTCAGTTCAGTTCAGTTCAGAGATTATGGATTGGATTGGATTCTGGATTGATTCTGATTGTGGTCATTTATCTTGCCTTGTCTTTGACAGTCGCGTGAAGTTATTAGCCTTTTAGTTACTTCGTTTTCTCTACTCTATCATACATTTTAATTTTGTAAGTATTTGCTATTAATTATTACATTAGTAGATGGTTATATATTTTACCAATTTACACCAGAATTAGTCCTATAAAATATGACATTTAGCCTAGGCATCACCAACATTATTTTGTCATTTTATTTCCTGTAAGCCTAGCATGAAGTTCTAGTCCTACATAAGAGAAAGAGAAAGGCTCAAAGATCTCTAGTTTATCAGGTGTATTCTTAAATCTTAACCATTATTTCGTTAACATTTTCACCTGGGTTAAGTTATTTTAGGGTGGGAGGAACATTGTCTGCAGGTTAACCTAAATGTAGGTTCCAGAAAAGAATTATATTAAGTTAACCTAATAAGTTATAGCCTATGAAGGGTACACTTCCATATCTGTTGGCACAAACAACCGAATGAAAATATCGATCGATATATCGATTATTCGATATAGGCTACCGTATATCGTTTGGTTAGTTAGGTAAGGTTAACCTAACCTAACTAACCATATTATTTAAACTTAGAATTAAACAATCGAATAAGAACAGTCGTTTCAGTACCACCCACTTCCTGCCGATCTAGTTTGGTTAAACTGATGTGCTGATAAAAAATGATGTCATTTCTACCTCTAGAATAGTCCGGTTAAACCGATGTCTGGTTAAAAGGTGTCCGGGTAAGAGGGAGTCTACTGCAATTTACTACTAAGTAGACCTAAGTAACTTATGCAGGAGTGCTGCCGCTGAAATTCATTACAAATGAATTGATTTTTTACACTCTAACTTATTGCTCTACTCTAGGCCTACTGTAAGTCTAGACCAGTTTGCTATAGTTTTCAATTTGATAACTTATTTCATCAGCCTGGAATAAATGAAAGACTCCAATTTGATTTTAGGTTTTGTGGTAAAATGACTTGTTGTTGCATTGCTAATGATTTGTGGTGATGTCATTGTGGAGCATTCTGTTTGGCTTGTGGTGTCTTTGTGAGTTCTTTTGTCTACAACTTTCTCCTTGTTATTTTAGTTTGGTGTTGTTAAAATGGCAGACGTAGTGCAGGTCGATTACAAGATTTGTGATATTCGTTTTACTGAATCTGTATATAAATACCTATTTTAATTGATGTGGGAATACTGTAATTTATGTGCTCGCTGGACAAAGGGAATCTTTTTTTTGTCGTCTTCACTGGGCAGCAGTAATTAAGTTAAGTTAGCAAACCCAAGAAGAGGGAGTGCTCATTTAATGTTTTCACACAGTCTGGTTTGGTTCTTCTTAGTATACCACAGTAATTAGCCTAAATTATCTGTCAAACAGATATTTTTGCTGTGAGTAGGCTTAGGCCTACTTAAGTTAGTTTTTTGTAGTTTATTCAAGATATTTTTTACAGAATTTAACATTCCTGGGGTTTGTTCTGCCTTCTTACTGTGTTAAAATATGGTACCGGTATTAAAAGTTATTGACGTTTTGAAGTAGCCTACGTAGGCCTACTAAAATTAATATTACCGGTATTTATATAGGCCTAGGAAAAATAAATCTGACAATTTTTAGGGAATTTGTTAACAGATATCCAGCCAGGTAAGAGGAAATTCGCTTAATCTGCAGGTTTGCTGCAGCAGGGATATAGTTATCTATTTTTGTTTAATTTAAACTTAAAGATCTCTTATTGGATATCAATGTAGGCCTACTGCTAGATGGAAGACAAAAGCAATCTGTTGATATATTATTTTCATTGTTGCTGTAAAACTTAAAAAGTAGGCCTACCATAATTTTAACCCTTAAAAAGCCACTACAGAAGGCCGAGATCCGTAACGTCAAGTTGTAATATATAGGCCTATATGAAGCAAGGCGCCTACAGCTGACAGGTTTGGATTACTAATGTAGGCTAACTGTAAACTTGGTCATCATTAGGATTCAATTAGGTAGGCTGACACTCATATAATAACAATTTGATTGCTCAGATTTTAGAACCTTTGTAAAAAAACTTATTCAAAAGCAATAAAAAACGGTTCATCTAAGTAAATAAAATTTAAAAAAAAAACCACTAAAACAGAGAGCAGAACAGGAATCACGTAAGAGGCCACTACGCATGGCTGGCCCGGGCTGCGGGGCTACCTTCAGCACTGACAATGTCGCTTCATTATGAGAGGACCACTAAGTGTGGCCTTCTTGATCTATAGGGAAGGAAAAGAGAATGCTGAATATGACCGCAAAGGGTTAAATTATATGCACTTTTTGTAGGTAGACAGCCTATATATTTCACAGGCTAAAGGATATGATTTTTTTCTAGGTTTGGTTGTGGCTTAATTTGTCCATGCCCTTGAGTCCCTTATGGTGTCTTCAGTTGCCGTAGGAATGGAGGCTCGACAAGACCAGTAAGTAGATTAATCATTATTGCTGTACAGTAACTATAAAGAACTTGACAAAGAGATTTAGTAGCAATAGAGACTAGTTAGTATGTGTGGACAGGGGGCAGAACTGCTGTTAAAAAGACTCAATTTATACTTTAATACTTTTCGATGAAATGGCGACCATACAATAGTAGGTATTTTAAGCCAAGTATGAATGGAGATGAGTGGCGCGATCTTGTAGTCTTGTGAGTGAGTAAGGCCGACATATTCCTTAGACACAGCTGTTAATTAACAGCCCATACAGCTAATGGCAACTAAGGTACCTACAGTTTATAGTATCCGAACCACATTTTCGTCTTGGTATATACGAACTGGTCTAATTATCAGGATAGTACTGCGGATAGTCGTAGTACTCACTCTTGCGGACGTTAATCCACACCAGAGAGTATCGCATCCACAGTGCATGCCTATAAATATTCACAAATTTGTGACCTCCTAGTAGCTGCTGGATTACAGGACGACGCCACCCGTCCCAGTCAAAACTTAATAAGCTGTGTTAAGCCAAGGCAACACTAAATAAACAGGCTGTAATGCAACTCAGAATGACGTCATTATAGGCGACGGCAATGATGTAGGCCTAGTGTTATTTTTTTAGTTATATTTTTGTTTGCCAAGAAAAGATTAAAATTAAAACAAGCAGCTGATCACAAACGATAAACATTAGCCTATGTCATTGGCGTCACTTACGATGACGTCGTGCCAGAGGACAAACCTGTTTTTTTTAGTTTTGCCTTGGTTAAGCCCCCCTCTAGAAAATGATGAAGGTTTGATTTCTCAGACAAGTAGCCTACAGTAAAAACTTTTTCTAGATATGGGAGAAAGCCCTCCCCTAAAAGACATAATAACTTTATTTACTCGGGACGATGGGTAAATCCTTTTTTTAAAGTTACAGTCCTTTAAAGGGTATGTTACAGTCGACGTTTCAGCCGATTCTTTGGCCAATTAGTAAAATGTAAATGACATTCATACTATTTACATATGTTCATTATCTTATGGAGAAAAGTTTGTGTCTGAGAACCACCTATCAACTACCTATTTCTAAACAAATATGAAAATACCGACTATGTAAACGCTACAAACGCTCCATTGACTCATAGAGGCGAGCAGGCAGGCAACTCATTTCCATCTGAAGAGACTCTTCAAAGCCTAATTAATGAGAAGACTCTTGCATACATTCTGCTATTGTTGACCCGCTTCAACTTCCATTCACTTTTAAGCCTGTTTATTTAGAATGGATGTCTTTTTAATTTTAATTTTATTTTTTACTTTCAGTTTGCAGTTTCATTAAACTACCTACTCATGAAATAACAGATATATATAACAAATAACAGATAATTGACATTAACAAAGTATTGTACAGATAGGCTTATAACAAAAAAATTTTGAAAGAAAAAAAATATTTTGAAAGTAACAACAACAAATATATCTCCTCAAGATTTAACAAAATATAAACTATGATGACATTAAGTTCTACGTGAAAAAATAACAACAAACAACAATAAATCTGTGAACGAATAACAAGAATGAAAGAGATTTAGGAACAAAACAAACAAACATCAGCTACAAAACAGGCATAACAAAGATAATGTTAGAGGATTTCCTTCTGAAGGAAGACAACTGTTCGTTGAAGAAGTCAACTTGTGATCCGACTTCGTTAACAAGATGTTGCAATCTGGCCAATCCACTATTGAGAGAGTAGTTAGTTGGTAAGTACAAGTGAGCAAATGTATCTGAAGATTGTGTTCCTCTCGGCTTAAGGAAATTAATTCCCTCCAGTAGGCCGGTAGAATCGATCTCACCACGGACCAGTTTAAACAAAAAAGGCATGTCGTACAGCTTTCTTCTGAGATGGAGAGGTTGGACGTTGAAGCGCTCCTGAAGCTTCAAGATTGGTGGGGCACGATACTCATAGCCCAGGCGGGCACCTAAGACTCGGAGGAAGCGTAACTGTACTTTATTTATCATTTCAATATGGCCAAGCTGATATGGTGACCAGATAATTGAGCCATACTCCAAAACTGGTCGCACTAGGGTCTTATATAACACTAGAAGTGACTGTAGGGACTTGAAGTCTCTTGATGACCTAAGGATGAATCCTAAGATGCAATTAGCTCTTGCGATAATATGAATGATGTGCTCAGCAGGACTCAAGGTAGAAGTAATATGACACCAAGATCCTTCACACGATCCTCACGTCTCAGAATATCACCACCAATTTTTTAGCCAAAAGTGCTACATGTTACATGTCATGTGAATGAGACAAAATGACACTTAGATACACTGAGTTACATTGTATTTTCATTGCACCACGTCTCAACGTTGGTGAGAAATCGTTGGAGATGTTCATGGTCTAAGGATGAGGAGATCCGGGAAAATATCTTGAGGTCATCAGCAAACATCAAGCAGTCCGACGTCAGTACACCAATTATGTCATTTATAAATGTACAGTATTAAAAAGTAGTGGACCGAGACGAGAGCCCTGAGGAACACCGGAGAGAACATTGAAGGGCGAAGAGAAGGCGCCACTACACTTGACAATCAAGTGACGATCTTTCAGTTAGCTTTCCAACCATTTGATCAATGGACCACTAATGCCATAACCAGCAAGTTTGGCGATCATCAAACCATGATGAACCTTATCAAAAGCCTTGGAAAAATTCAAGTATATATGCAGTCAACCTGCCTTGAACTAATGAATGCCGATGAAACATATTCTTGAAATGATAGTAGGTTAGTAATGGTGGAGCGGCCTCTAAGAAAACCATGCTGATTACAAGTAATATATTTTTTCAAATAAGCATAGAGATGGTCCAAGACCAAAGACTCATAAACCTTGGCCAAAGCCGATTGGATCACAATTGGTCTATAATTTGAAATACTACTTCGGTCACCAGACATTGTTAACGTTATAAGGCTATGTTAGTACCCATAAAATTATTTATACTTTGGCAGGGGCTTCGTGGACGCTGAAATGTCCCTTAGGCGACCCTCACCACTATCGGGTCTGGCCTTTTTACCTGGCTGAATTTACCCTCTAGTATGCTCTAACAATTTTTTTTTTTTTAATTTGGCTCTTAAAGTTTATGTTTTTGTGATTTTTATAATCTCCTAATTAAGACAATAAAAATGAGTCTAAACACGATACTATTATTTTGTGTTAAAAGGAATAACTGTGAATCTTTATCCTAATTCAACAAATATGTAGGCCTACGTTTTATTTTGGACTTAATTCAATTTGATGTATTAATCTAACATTTATATTTATTAGGATGGTATTAATTTAGGTTTGTTTTAGCGAATTTCTCTATTTGTATTATTTATTTATTTGGATTACTATTACCATTATATACTATTAATTACTATTATTGGATTACTATTGGCACAGTAAGATCTAAAGACGGGACCGATATACTTTTCATTTTGGTGTCCCTAGAGGCCAAAAACACTGTTCTTTCACCATTTTGTAGAGCTTAAAAAAAAAACAAATAATTTAGTAGGCCTAGGTATATGAAACGTTTTTATGCACTTAACAGTTTAGGAGAAAAAAAACAAAAAAAACATTGTACATTTAAAATTTCCATGTTATCCTTATGAAGAATAAATAAACTATTATATTTTGCTTGTTTATTGATCTATTCCAATAAAATTTGGCAAAATAATTAATAGGCCTACTATTAAAATTTGATCAAAAAACCCATTTTCCATTCCCAGAAGCAGCAAACCTAAGTACTCGTTTAACTAATCTTGTTATTTAGATAGGGAATGAGAATAAGTCTTTTTGAGGAGATAGTTTAGTAAAAATTCTATCAGGCAAATGGAAATTCGCTTAGTTTACAGGTTTGCTGCGGCAGGGGTATTTGTCTTTGTGAGCTTTTGGTTTTGTCTAACTTAACCGGTGACTGCCAAATTAAATTTAGATAAATACTTTTATTCCAAATTCAAGCTGGCTGTGAGTAGTCGGTATAGACGTTACCTGTAACGTGGGTTACACAGTCAACTGAGCCGAGCGTAATGAAACACTCGGTGAACAAGAGAAGTCGTAATTAGCTGTCGTGTAATGATCCGTGAAACAATGCCCAAGTACAGGTGTTATTGTTTCATATCCATCAGTCATGCTGATTGATATTAGGCCTATCTTTTGTATTGCCACTTTGATTTGGTCAATTGGTTGTGTAGGGTTTTAAATGTCAGTTGTCAAATAAGGTTAAATATATTATGACATAGATGCAGCAAATGCAGGGTATTTTCATCAAGACTTTGAATAGTTTTAGGAAAATTAAGGTTTGAAATTGAGAAAAGTTGTAAAATTTTGTTTGTAAAATGGAATATTTTTTGCAAAACACGATTAAGATTGTTAAATGTGTGACAAAAACATAAAGTCGTCTTTGTTTTTTTTATATGAATGTAGTTCAACTTTTAACAATTTATTATTTGCCCTTAATTACCTTGTTAATATAACAATTATAAATTGTTCTGTTCTCGGGGAAAAAAGTAAGGATACACTTTCAGATAACGTCTTGGTCAGAATTGTAGTAAAAATAGGCTTAAACAAAAAAATATAAAATTTGCCTGATTCAAAATATCTTATTGGATTTCTATTTCTACCTTATATATTTACCGAACCAAACAGTTTCTTAGAACATTCGTTTTAAACAAAAGTACCTATGGCTGGGATGGGCAGGGCATGTGTCTCGCCTATTTCTTTATCAGTGTCTGATAAGAACCATGTGTGAATTTACTTTTTAATAGTTTCTTTCTTGGATTTTTAGTAACTTCTTTAAATAAATAAATACTCAAGTAATTAATTAATTTGTTTTTATGGGAAAAGGCCTGTTTGGTTGTTAGAAGAAGATAAACGGTCATAGAGGCCCAGGTTTGAATCTTACAGATTACCAAGGAAAATAAGCTCAGTGATAATACTGTAACCCGGCGGTTAATATGCCCCAACCCGCAATGAATAATTT